GTGAGTGGGGGAGCACAGCCTGCACTTTGTGGATAGACACGGCTGACCCTGCGCCTGGAGAAGCCACCAGAGCCCCAGGAGAGGCCACATGGCTTCCACTCCCTCACCTCCAATGCGGTAAATACGCATTATTTTAAGACCCCCAAATGATTTCCAAGTGTAATGCAATTTTTAAAGATCGAGTCTTGGAAAACAGAGTTTGGAGGCAGGAAGGGATTCAATCGCAAGACAAAATCCCTAAAACTGTATGGAAACAGTTCTGTTTGCTCTGATTTCTGCTCTCGCAAGCAGCTGTCCGAATCCCTGTTTTCTGTGCCCCCTCACCCCACTGCTGTCCTCTGTCCCCCACTGTCCCTGTTCTCATGGGATGGCCCTCCCTCCTCATTGCCAGTGCCCAAGGGCACAGTGACTTCACAATGCCAGTCTTCATGGGTCTCTTCACGTCGGCAGGCCCGGCAAGGGCGCGATTACATTATGCTGACAGCGTTTTACAAACAAGCAGGAGTTCTTCACCTGCATCCCACTTCACATTCTTAATGGAGAAAAGACAAGCAAAAATAAATAAATAAATAAATAAAACACAAGGTAAGTATTTTGGGGGCAATACAACTTCTTATTATTGTTTGAAGCAGATCATTCGAAAGAAGCAGCAACAAGAAAATAAACAGTAGCGACAATAAACGTTTAGTAAAGAAATGAATGGAACACTGAGTGAACCTTGGTAAAAAAAAAAAAAAATGTGTCCTGACCATCTGTGAAGAAACAGCAGGGCCGTGAGTCCACGCAGGCTCATCCATCTCCGTCACGCCACGCTCCTTCTCTGGTCTCAACTGCTCACGGCCAGGAAGGCCCGGGGCCCCCTCATCCTCCCTGCGGGGGCCTCCCCACAGAGCAGGGGGTGCTGGGGAGCGGCAGATGGGCAAGGGGCATGCTCTGATGTGTAGAGAGGCTGGCAGATCTGGCAGCAGCAAGGAGGAGCTGAGAACTCCCAGGCAGAGAGAGAAGGCCCGGGTGGGGCCGGGGTGGGGCCCAGGTGGGCAGGGAACCCCTGAGATGAGACCCCAGGGGCAAGTCCGAGAGAAGAACAGAGTCCGAGAGGAGGATGAGCGAGGAGCTAGGGGAGGGTGGGAGGGATTAGTGAAAGGCAAAGGTCCCAGGAAGGTGAGAGGTGGGTGGGCCCAGCCAGCCGACAGCCGCAGGAAGCTCTTGGGCTCTGGAGCTTGGAGGGAAGCTTCTGTCCCATGACCAAGACCAGCGACTGCCTCTCCTTCTGCTCTCTTGTTGGTCCTGGGTGAGATTCAGTGATTTCTGATGGACACTCTAATAGAATATTTTAGTTTCCTGCTAAATTCTAAGAGGCTATTATCAAGTTCATCCAAGTTATGTTAGTGGCATTTAATATGTAAGTGAAACACAGAAAAATGAAATTATAACCTAATACTGTTTTTCTATAATATCTTAAATACATACTGAAACTAGAAAGGTTATTTATATCTACAGCCCCCAAAGTAGGAGAACATTGGAAATGCACTCCCTATAGACAGACATCACGAGGGGTTTCAGAGCTCGTTTTGCTCCCTGAACACGTCCCTAATTACACCCGCGTTCCCCCTTCATCTCCACGGCATTGCTGATGGGCCCACAGATGGGCGTGCAGGTAGATACAACCATCAGCATGGAGATGGCTCTATCACTCAGCTAACCATGACTTTAAATCATTTAATTCTCTTCAAATCATAATCATGGCTGTATGAACTAACATACAAGACCCCTGAATATTTGGATGACAAGCAAAGATACCCAGGAGTTTTCCTCCAGGCCGGCGGCACCCGTGTGTTCCTAAGCACCGAAAGAGTATGGATTCTTTCATGTTTGTGGAAACAGCGAACACGGTGCCCTCCCCATGCGCTCATGCTGATCTCATTTCTGGTGTAACTGTGCCTTTTCGTGAGCATTCGATAATTACCATCTGGGTGACGATGGAAATGATGGCGGGGATTAGAGGGTCATGGCACTGACAGCCCACAGATGGCCACTCGCTAGGGGTGACGGAGGAGGGCTTACCAGAGTGTGACCCTGAACACTGGAGCCGAGCTGAGGGAAGTCAGGGAGGGCAGAGTGCCTGGGAAAAGCCACCACAGATGCTGCTTCTAGCCTGGGCCTGAAGGGGCGGGAAAGGCCTCTGTTGCCAAAGTCCACGTGAGCCGTGGCTGTAGGAACAGCTCCCTGACCAGAGCTGTGGCCTTGGGCAAAGGAAACAATGTGGCCAGGCAGCAGGGAAGAGGGGGAACAGACACCCCAAACTCCCCCACCCACCATCACTGTTTCCTGCTGTTGCCTCCCATTGACAGAAGCAGCCAAGAGCAGGAAGGAAGAGGGCCCAGAGCCGTGGTGTGGGAGACTCGGGGGCCACAGGGTGGGGCAGAACCCCCGGGAGAGGAGTTTTGGGGATGAATAGAAACTATGGAGCTCTGGCCCCTCACCCCGCAGCACACTCACAGGCCTTGGTGAGGACGGGGCCCCACCCCCAGTGTGGGAGAATCCACTGAGGTAACACCACAAAGTCCCCAGCAGAAACCCGGGGCAGTGGGCCGAGTGAGATAACGGGGGAGAGAAACGGGGAGACGTGATCCACAGAAGAGTTCAGCTGCTCGGGTCCTATTTCCAGAGACAGCCATGAGCCCTTGGATGAGAATCACCACTTCCGGCTCCATCTCAGGCTCCTTTTACCCAAAACCACATGATGGGTGAGCCAAGCTTGCTTTTCTGTGGGGTCCAAGCCTTCACCACTCCTGACTTTCTGAGTTGATAGTTTCCTGCCGACCAGTGCTAAGCACTGAGTGGTACTAAAGATGCCCAGGAAATTCCGCAGGGTCCAGTCATGGTTCTCCGAGTCCTCGCTAATTAATTGTGTTCCTTAAACTATTGAACAACCATTTATTTATTTCAAGATTTGTGGAGTTATCTGTTCAGATACAATGTCTTTGTCTCCTAGTAAAGAGTGACACAGCCTCCTCACCTACCTTCTTCTTAATTAGTTCCCATGGGAACACTTTTTTCCAAACTTATTAGGATGTAATTATGTGAAATTGGGAGAATTCGCCCCAGCCAGCAGAGCGGCCACCTTCTCCACCTCCTGCTTCAGAGCCAGGAGGGGTCCAAAGAGCAGGAAGCTGCCATGGCCTCCAGTTGAACAGAACCAAGATGGTGAGCAAACTCTGCCCTTGGGCAACAGGCTCTTCACACGCACCAGCCCAGGGCTGTGGGGACGGACATAAAGATTCCCTAAGTAGGTTACTGAATCGAATGACCGAAGGGGCCACTCCCACTTCCGCTTTGTGCACCTGGTTCCAGGGGAAACGCCGCCTCTTGCAGGCTGCTGGGCTCAGGTGGGCACCATAGCCCGCAGGCACCAGACCCTCAGGGTTTTGTCTCCCAGATGGCACCGCGTCCAGGCCCTCGTAGGTCATTCCAGACTTTATCAAGGCAGCTGCTGTGGGGGTGGGCACATGGGAACACCACTGAGTCGGGTGGCTCTGAGCTCATTGTTGCAACGACTTTCACTTGGATTGAATCCCTTGGTCAACAAGACATCGTGCGGGCAGCCCTGGAGATGGAGGCCATCCTGGAGGAATCGGGTCGTGATCACGGTAGAAGTGCTTCAGGCAGGGAAAGAACATCTGCCTCTGGGGAGGTAATCGAATGAGAAGAAATTGCTTCTTATAATGAGACAAATCCACATGATCAGCCCAACAAAGGGGCCATCGATGAGACTGAACATTGGCCTTTTGTGGCAGTAGCTCCACCCCCTCCCTGAGCAATTCTACTAAAGCCCATGCAGACCCCGCACCGCTCCCTCGAGGTCACTTTGAAGTTGGCCCAATGCGTAAGAATCAGGGTAGTGAGGGAAAGACACAGGCTGATGGCCGCAGGACCATTGTCTTCTCCCCTGGTGCTACAGTGTGCCTCGTGAAGGGGATTTCCCAAGCACATGGGACCCGAATATCTCCACATTCTGTGTCCATCCCAACAATTCCCAGACTTCTTCATCTCTTGCTTGAGATGGACACTCAGTAACCCCAGCCCATAAGCCAGTGCTCCCCTTTCACCGAGAGGAAGGAAAGGTTTACAAAGTGGTGGCTTCCACAGCCTGAGGCCACTCACTGAGGCTTCTCCTTCACAACGGCCATCGGCACCACTCCGGACCAGGCCATTACTGGTGTCTGGAGCCAGCAGAGCTGGGGACTCCCCCGTGAGTCCTGGCAGGCACCTTCCCTCGTCTGTCAGTGGGGGACCAGGAGTTCAGCAGGAGGCAGCACTGTGGGCAGGGGCGGGACTGGGGCCATGAGTTGAGTCCCCCTGGTCAGGGCTGCTTTGCCCATGCTGTGTCCACTCTAAGTGAAACACGGTTGTGCACCTGCAGTTTTGTGGACGGGACAGTAGGCCTGAGCCTGATCAACAGCCCTGGAACTCCCAGGGGCCACCTGACACAGAGGTGAGGTGTTAACAGTGACAGTGTCAGGACCAGGGCTGATCTCAGTGAAGAGTGGATCCCACCTTGCCCAATTACATCCTAATAAGTTTGGAAAAAAGTGTTCCCATGGGAACTAATTAAGAAGAAGGTAGGTGAGGAGGCTGTGTCACTCTTTACTAGGAGACAAAGACATTGTATCTGAACAGATAACTCCACAAATCTTGAAATAAATAAATGGATGTTCAATAGTTTAAGGAACGCAATTAATTAGCGAAGGTTTTGCCCAACATGGTTCCAGCCAGGACTACTCAGTATGTTAAAAAGTAAGATTTGGTGCCAGTGGCATTTTCATGGTCCTTATTGCAATCATCAGGACTTTTTTCCCCCTGAATCTTTCAAAACTGGGTATCTTTAGTTGAAACACAATTTTGCTGCTTACGATCATTAATGAGGATCTTAATGATCCTCATGATCATTAAGATCATGAGGAATGCCTTAGTCACACACACACACACACACACACACGCTGGTTTAAAATATTTATTGATTAAAAAAAATTAAAAATTTTTTATACAAAGGTGATGAGAAAAAATCTCATGCAAACTCTGGGCATACAATAAAAATAACTCAAATATTAATATGATGGTTTTGTACAAAATAATTCTTTTGAAGTAGGACCTGTGGCAACCAGCACGGCTCCCTGCTCCAGACCAGGACGCCCCTCTGGGAGGAACACGCGGCCACCCTTGGAAACCTGTAAGTGATCCACAGTCCAGGCGTGGGATGCCCACAGTTGTCACTATGATGAACGATGAAAACCCTATTGCTGCTACTCAGAAACGAGACTGAGACCTAGGAACAGAGTAAGGAATTCCTCAACGCCGCGGGAATCCCGGAGGAGCGAAGTAATTCACAAAGGCTTTTCAGAAAATTTTCGCTAATCGTCTCAGGTGATGACACAAATGCCTTGAGATGGTTACGGAGGCTCCTGTTCCCACTTCCCCACAGTCCTGCAGTGGATTGATAATTTGTGTATATTACAAGTAATTTGCATAATTAAAACAATTAAGAGATCGACGTATCATGACGATTAGAAATGCATCAAACTCTGAACGTACAAAAGAGAGAGCTTCAATATGAAACAGTAATCCTCTGAGAACGAAGACCCCGCAGCGCCGGTGCCCGCTGGGTCGTGCAGGTGCCGGCCGCCCCACGCCCATGTCTGTCTCCACCGTGACCTCCTCGCCCCCGGCACGCCCAGGGCCAACCCCCGGGCTTATTGCATTTTTCACAAACTCATCTCATTTTCCGCAGCCTTAGTCTGTTTTCCTTGTCCCGTTTCTTCAGAATAAGTATGAATTGGTTGAAAAAATGCTCCTGGTCCTTTCTTTTTTGAACAAGTCGGAACCTCTGATCCCGGCCGTATTTCTCCGCAAACTCCTTAAATGTGGTCCTGAAAAAGAAAGAGTTTCCTGAGACACCTTCCAGAGAGCAACTCTGGCCTCCCCAGAGATCCTGCAGCGGTACTGCCTGAGCAAGCAGCCAGCCCTTCCACCAGGCCTGGCCGTGGGCGGCAGGGCACCCGGTGGGTGAGCGGCTCTGGCTGGCCGTGCCTGCTCCTCACGGGGGTCCTGCAGAGCCCTGACCTGCCCTCACTTGCAGGAACCCCTGGTCTCTGAGTGGTCTCCAGAAATGAGCGGCCTCCACTAGCCTCCTCAGCCGGTTCGTGCAGCTGTCACTCTCCCAGCCGTCCTTGTCACAACTGTGCCTGCCAGGTCTCCTCCGCCCCTTCCTTGCTGCCACCATGCTCTGCCTGCCACGGTCTTTCTTACACTGTTCCCTCCGCCTGGCACACCCTTCCCTTGTTTCTTCCCCCAGTTAGAGCTGCTCGTCATGAGAAACCAGTCCAAGGCATCTTCTTTGGGAAACTCGCCCTATCTAGAAGGTCAGAGAACTGTGACTCCATCATAGCCCTCTTCACAGTGGTGATCTTGTCAAACCTCACATGTGGAACCGGACTCCCAGGTTCGAATGGGGGAGGCATTATCTGCTTCATTCTCTGATAAACGCCCTGAATGTCCAGCCCAGTGTCTGGCAAGTAGTGAGCCCCAAACACTGATGGAGCGAATCAGAGCTGCCAGGTCAGGTGGTGCCCCACAAGAAAACACGAGTGACCCAGTCTAGACCAGCAAGGCTGTTCTCAAGGCTAGGCCAGCTCAGAGGGAAAAACAGGACGCGCCTCTGCGGTGACCAACCTGACCTTCACAGGCACCGGCCCCGCAACTTCCTATTCTCTTAGCCTTGAACTTGAAACCAGAAACAGGGACAGGGGTAGAGGGGCCAAGGCCTGGAGCCACTGGTTCATGCAGATGCACTCGCTTGTCCAGCAACAGCAGGGCCTGGCCTGGGCAATATGCTCCGGGGTGCCTGGAAAAATGTGGTCATTCTTTGTCCGGGGGATTCTTCTTATTCCCTCCCATTTCTCTTCACAGAGAATTTTACACTTCCTTACAGACACTGAATTATTGTGTTAAATTATTATAACGTAATAGCTTCTGAAACATACAAACAACAAGATTATGCCGACATGGCTGTTAGAAGACAAGACAAATAATTATCAGACTCATGCTCGTTTCTGTCACTGAACAACTAGTTTCATTCCTTCCCCAAGGCGCTGCTGTTTTCCTGCTCTCCATCTGTGGGGGGTGCTTGTTTACACATCTCTTGCAAGAAAAGCACTTCTCTCTGGCTTCCCTCTTCCTCCCTCCCTCCTTCTTGCCCTCTTCCCTGCCTTCCCTTCCTCCTTCCTTCTGTCCCTCCCTCCTTTTCTCCCCATTCCTTTCTTCCTTCTCTCCCTCCTTCTCCCTTCCTTCCTTTACTGATGTAACAAACTTCCTGTGCCGTGGCTAAGCCACACTCCACCCCTGACCTGCTCAGGATGAGTCAAATGGTCAGACTCGCCTGGGCTTGTTCCACGCTCCCCTGGCTAGACAGGCATCTACACATTCTCAGTTAGGGGCTGGACAGGTGCCGCTGCTAGACAGGTCCTATTCTGGGTCTCTCTGAAAAAGTGTCCCTGAAAAGAAAGGGAGCTTCATACCTCTGTGGCCCCCGAGCCATGCCGAGGGGCAGCACTGGCTTTCTGCTGATGCTGACGAGCTGTGGTGTGAGCTCAGGAAGGTCAGCTGAGTCACGGGCCCTGCATCTCTGTCCTCCCTCCCCTAAGCGGGACTCAGGATAGCCTGCCACGAAGGAGGCAGCTGCTGCAGCTTTCAAGAAGGAGTACCAGGTGTCAACCCCACCTGGCTAGGACCCAGTCCCTAGTGGCTGCTCTCCCGAGAGGCGGGCAGGGCTGGGGCTAGGGGCTGTCCAGGAGTGTTCTGGACTATCCCATCACCACCATTCCCACAGGCTGCTCGAGACTGAGACTGAGACGGGTGACAGGAAGGGACTGTATGGCTGTAGGAGGCTACACAGCCCCAGGAGGCTGCTTCGAAGAGGCCCACGCGGCCTGCATGGGGATGAGCCTAGCTGTCCAGCATGTGGTCATTTGAATTGCACATGTTTCCATAGGATGCCTACAGAACGGCAGACAAGAGATCTGGAAAAAGTTTTTGAAATGTTGTAAACTTAGCTACTTTAAAAATAAAAAAAAAAGCTTTATAATTATAAAAGCAATATATCTCAAGTGTAAATGCTAAAATTTGCTGCATTATAGTAAGCATTTTATGATCTCTATGCACCCTATACCATTATGTTGTATAGTTTAAATATATACAATAAAATTTCTCTTAAAAAATAGCAGGCAATTATATCTAATTTTAAAAATAGTCAGTTTAACTCCCTTCTAATTTCTACCATTCATTTTCCTTGCGTGTGTGTGTATCATCTTTTTTAAATGACTCATTGCATTCTGAATATCTTTTTCCGTTGTCTTCATGATGTATTCATGGGAAGGGGACTATGTGGCTTATTGCTACTATTTTATCAGTAGAGCGACAGAGAATGCTGGCCAAATGTCCTTAATAGTAATGACGGTCTCAACAGTAATGACAGCTATCACTTTTGGAGCTCCTCCTGCCTGCCAGGTGCCACTGGGGTCCCTCCCTGTAGCCCCTCACTCCATCCTCCTAGTCACTTGCTGAGGTGTGTGTGGTCATCCTCCCATTTGGAGGAGGGCTCTGAAGGTCCAATACTTGCCCCATGGCCGGGATAAGATGGGCCAGGGCTGGGGCCAGGCTGTGAACGAAGGCAGAGAAGGGGCTCCCGCACCTTTCCCAAGCCCTTGCCTCCGCGGCCACTGTCCCATGGCCACCTGGTGGGTGGACACAGCTGAGCCATGGCTAGAACCCAGCATTCTCATGTCTACTTTAACCACAGAAAATCACATGTTGCAAGCAATGGGACACACATTTACTTGCCCACGTTAGCACTTGCGATGAAGATAACTCATGCTATTTTTCCCTATTCAGAAAGTACCTGTTCTCTAGAATAGTTACAGAAGTTTTATGAGGAAGTTTTATGAGGCCACCCAATTCTTGATCAACCAAACCACAGGTCAAACAAAGGAGGCCTATGCCTTCACGGAAAGCATCAATTAATGTCCACTTAAAAACTGATGCTGGCCAGGCACCGTGGCTCACGCCTGTAATCCCAGCACTTTGGGAGGCTGAGGCAGGTGGATCACCTGAGGTCAGGAGTTCAAGACCAGCCTAGTCAACATGGCAAAACCCCGTCTCTACTAAAAAATACAAAAATTAGCTGGGCATGGTAGTGGGTGCCTGTTATCCCAGCTACTTGGGAGGCTGAAGCAGGGAGAATTGCTTGAACCCCAGAGGCGAAGGTTACAGTGAACCAAGATCATGCCACTGCACTACAGCCTGGGTGAAAAGTGAGGCTGTCTCAAAAATAAACAAAAAACAAAAAAACAAACAAACAAAAACCTGATGCTGGATCTTCCAGTCTAAAATAAAAATACATTGTCAACTATTTTTATGCTTACAAAACTTAGTTTTATAGTTCTAAGAGTAGTACATGTTCATTAATTTATAAAGATTAGTCAATTAAAGCTAATTTTTAAGAGTTAAGCTTATGTATTGTTCAGATTTCTAACATCTATTTTCTTATAAGTGTGTCTTATTTCATGGAAATAATGCCTCACTTATTATTTTAGTAAGTCTTGGCAACCCAGTTAACTCAGTTCACTTCTCCAGTATATCAAATCTTCATCTTATTCTGGGACCAACTGTTAAGACCTCTGGAACCAAGGGGTGTGGTAGGGGTTACGGTGCTGTTGTTTGTAGTTAGCTTTGCATTTTTGCTTCTTGATCATTAGCTCAGAAACTCGACCTCATCTCATGGCTGCTGACGTACTGATTGGTTATCTGGGTCAGTCAGGGCTGCTGACGTTTGAAAGGCATGCAGGGTAAGAATAAAATGGCTGTGATGCATTTGGATAGCAAATAGCCCACTTTCCCAGGACTGACGAGAGGGACATTTGGAGGCTCATGACAGGCAGCATGGTAGAGGGGAGTCAGCCTGGTCTCACTGGCAGGTCTTCAAAGCTCACACCTTTGTGTCTGTGGAAGGCTGGGTGACACAATTTAACAAAAACAAACCTGAAGAGTCCGCTTGTAATTGGCAAGTTCCCAGCCCCAGAAATCATCTGGTATATTTATCTCTCCATACCTGGGAGACACTTTAGATTCCTCTAGAAGTTTCTTGAATTCTTCTTTGGCTAGCAGCAATTTACTTTTCTTTTCCTTGTATTCTTCTTTTATTCTTGTCTTGACAAACTGTTCAAATATCTTAAAACACAGACACAGAAGAAAAACGTCATGAAATGGCACATCAGAAATGAAATCTTGTATTCCAAGCACAACATGAGAAAGCAGCAAGAATCTATGGCAAAAGCTGTCCTTGTTCACAGCTGCTGGAGTTATGAGCAACAGCCTTTCCGCATAGCTCTCCAGGATCCAGGCGGTCTGAATAATTAAACCTGGGTCCCCACACGGCCTGGCATTTCTCTACATGCAGGCGCCATTTCTGGGTCAAACGTGAAACAGCCCTGCTGGAGAAACCCGGAGAATGACTTGGCTGCCCTCTCTGCAGGCATCTGGAACCAACTGGCAATTTGGAACCCATGCTGTAGGCTGCAATGGTCCTCGCTGTGGCCTCCGAGCAGCATCCGTACTGCACGGCCTCCTCACTTTCTCATCATGGCCAGTGGCACCAGAACACAGCAGAGCACTCAGTTTGTGCTAGTCACTTCCTAGGGTGACGTAATTGACATTCGAGTCTCCCAAAAATGACTTTAACTTGTGAAAAGAAAGTAAATTCTGCATCTCTGATCCCCGCTTGTGAACCTGGGCCTCTGGCGCGTTGGGGAGGACTCAGGGCGCACAAGCGGCCTCTTCTGAGAAGGTCATGGGATGCCAGGCTGCCTGGGTCATCAGTGTGGAAACAACTGACCAGGAGGCCTGACCCTCAGGCACTGGGCATGCCCCAGTCTGACCAGAAGTGCGTCTCAAATGCTGCCCCAAACAGGAAAACCCTGCTCCTCAGTGGGAAGGACACGCACATCAGCTGGCAGGCAGTTTCGGGCAAGGCTCCAGGGCACTTCTCCTGGAACCCGGCAGCCCGCATAACGAGATGCAATCTCTTTATGACAGGCCACAAAACCTCTTCTCTGTCAGAGGAAGATGGATCATTGTTCTAACAACCGAAAAATGGTCATTTATAGACTACAGAGTCAAAGAGGGACAAAGTTCTTTCATTCCTAATGCTACCCCAAACTCAAGAACATTAAAAATAAACTGAAGATGAGTGTTTATGCAAATGTAGATAAACATAAACAAAACTATCAAGAGAAAGTCCACATACGATCCTATAAGGTCGATCAATGGCAACTGTGCACCAATCCAACCAACGGCCAGGCAGATCTTAGAATGTGACCGAGGACCAAGCAGGCAGCTTCTTCGACACTCATGCCAAGTGAGGGGGCGATGAGAAAGTAAGGGTGGGCAGGTAAAAGCCTCCACCCCAGCACCGCTCGGCCCCTTCTCTGGAGCAGCTCCCTTCCCACTTTGTCTCATCGTTTCAGATTCCATGTCAGTAGTGGCAAACCTTTACAGGGTTATGAATACACAATGCTACTGGTCTCCTGACGATACAGCAGCAAAATGAAACACCCACAAATATGGCTCAAACTGAGAATACGTGCATGTATATGTAAGTAAGAATATGATTGGCTTTTTTTCTTTTCTTTTCTTTTCTTTTTTTGAGACAGAGTCTCGCTCTGTTGCCCAGGCTGGAGTGCAATGGCACGATCTTGGCTCACTGCAACCTCTGCCTCCTGGGTTCAAGCAATTCTCCTGCCTCAGCCTCCCAAGTAGCTGGGACTACAGGTGTGTGCCACTACGCCTGGCTAATTTTTTTGTATTTTTAGTAGAGACGGGTTTCACCATGTTGGCCAGCCTGGTCTCAAACTCCTGGCCTCAGGTGATCCACCTGCCTCGGCCTTCCAAAGTGCTGGGGTTACAGGTGTGAGTCACCGTGCCCGGCCATAACTGGCTTCTTATAGCAATGTAAGTTCTCAATTGTCTTATATTTAACTAATAAAAAAATGAATGCAGGGTTATTATCCAAATAAAAGCATATGGCTCCATCATTAGCTAGAGTTTTGCTCTATTAATTTCAGACCTGGAGAGAAAGCCTCGCTGGCCATGGGGTCAGGGCTCTTCAGAAATGCCTGCTTCTCTCTCTGCCTAGAACCATTTCTCCATCTCATCAAACGCTCCTCTCTTTCCTCTTGCTTTGCTCTGTTACTTTATTTTATGCTGCTATAATTTAACATCGCAGGTTTTGTTTTTCATCCTTAACAAATTATACCAGCTTTATCCAAAGTGGAGCATGACTTTTTAAAGGAGATTCTGTTGGCCGTTATATCACTGCTGTACGTTCTAGCGCAATAAAACAAAACGCTATTTGTTGCCATAGAAACAGGCCTGCTTCACCCTCCCTCGACCCTGGTTCTGTGTAGGATCACCCTCTTCTCCTGTGCAGCTCCCCCGGCAGAGGAAGGGCTGTGATTTTCACACCAGGGACCTTAGCTTTCCCCGTGAACACACTGTGTGACACGAGGTCCTGTACCGATTCTATGTCTGATACTTCTAACCCGATTTCTTCCTAAATAGGACTGTGGTCTTTGGATGGGGACCTGCTATGATTTCTCTCCATCCTCCTCCTCATACGAGCTGCCATGCTCCCCTTTGATGAGGTTGCAGGCACTTCTGAACGCCCTCTGGCCACTCCAGTGTGCTGGCTGCAGTGTGGCCTGCTTCCTCCTCCTTCCCACTGGACCTTCTGGGACCAAGCTGCAGGACGTTGGGACAGGCCCACAGTTTCCTCTGGGTGATTTCACAGGGATGCTTAAAGGCTTTACCCAGGCAACGGGTACTTAGCATGAGCTATATTCTCATCTATTTGCAGAGGACCCACCCAGGCAAGGGCAGGGCATCCCAGCCCAGGTAGGCCTAGCCCCATCAGGGTTGGCATCTGCTGTCTCTGATGATGGCCTGAGGAAGGTCCAGCCTCACAGTGCTCCCTTGGATGAGCCCTGGATGGGATGCCCATGTCCCCCAGACATCAGGGGGGACATCGGGGGGACATCGGGGGCTGGCGCTGCCCTGCCCATGAACCACTTCCATCCAGCAAGCAGACTGGGCCCCTGTGTTCTCAGTTGTTTTAAGAGATGTGCCTTGGCATTTAAACTAGAATATCTGGAAGGGGCTTGATCATAAATTGGAATTTTCTTTTTGCAATGGAGATGATCTTACTTATTCAATGTTTTTTAAAGGGACTAATGGCCTCAAAAGGTATCCATGGCACAGAGAGAGAACAACTGATAACAGCAAACTAGTTGTGGTGGCACACATGGCACACGTGGCACGTGCCATGCATGCCACACAGAAGCCACACGCCACACAGCACACACGCCACACGCACTCCAGATGTACTGATGATTTTTAGACACTGCCTAGTTTATGGTTCCTGACTATGTCCTCCAGTGAGTCTGTCACATAAAATCATAGGCTCCTTGCTATGCTTTTTCATAGCTGATTTTTTTTTTTTTTTAGACAGAGTTTTGCTCTTTTTGCCCAGGCTGCAATGCAATGGCACAATCTCGGCTCACTACAACCTCTGCCTCCCGGGTTCAAGTGATTCTCCTGCCTCAGCCTCCCAAGTAGCTGTGATTACAAGCAAACACCATGACACCTGGTTAATTTTTGGCGTTTTTAGTAAAGACAGGGCTTTGCCATGTTGACCAGGCTGGTCTCGAATTCCCGACCTCAGGTGATCCACCCACCTCGGCCTCCCAAAATGCTGGGATTACAGGCAGGAGCCATTGTGCCCAGTCATAGCTGAAATTTTTGATTTTTAAAATTGCAACAAAATGGTGAAATATTACCAATTATCAAAGTCTATGGTTTTCCTTCACTATAGGAAAAAAATATATAACACCCAAACTCAGCGAACTCTATTGTAGTATTATTTTGAGACTGTGATAACAGATTTCACATATTTTAAAATATTTCTTTATAGAAAATGAAACTCAGCTAGAAGACAATAAAAGATTATCAATTCCAAGTTCTTGAAAGGTTCAAGTTCTGTATTCCAAGGCAGTCAATCCTGGGAGCACGTCACACTGCCCAGCCTGCCCCTGAGCCTGCTCCAGAGAGACGGTCCAGTTCCAGTGAGTGGAGTGGTGGGGCGAGGGCTGGGAGCGGGCGTGGGGACAGAGTGGGAGCTGGTTACAACGAGGAACGTGGGTCCATGTGACTGAGACCCTGTGGTTAGTGCTCCACTGACATCACCTCAGGCATGTGCTTAAAGGGACTTGATGAGCAGAGGACAGAATTGAAAATAAAACGGCAATTCCCACACCCTTCGTCTGGGGCTTTATCAGACTCTGCTGGTGTGAGAAATCCAGTGGACACCAACCTGGGGGCCCCTGGTCACAGAATCCCTCTTCCCCAAATTAACCATGGCTCTTCCATTTTCAGCTGCTCTTCTTAATAGCTCACCTTCCATGTGCATCATTTCTGAACTCAAAGGGCAAAGGGAGGGCAAGACATGACTGCACGCATGGAGTCTGGGCAGGGAAGTCCGGACCTCCCAGAGTCTATCTCAGGGCCCTTCTCAGAGGCGCTCCACGGGCCACACAGACCCAGGCTGTGCTGGTCCCTCCCCCAGCAACCACAGGCCCCTCCTGTGAGCCAACACCATCTGTCCCTCCGTCTGTTTGACATGGAAAGCAGTGTTGGCTCAGGCACCTACTCTGTGAAAAGCTAGGGCAGACCCCTGGCAAGTCTCTCCTTAAAATAGCCCCCAGAGAACCCCCTCTAATCAATTCCTTGTTTTCTGGGCGATGTTCTGTAGAACTTCCACCCTTTACTGTGCTGCTATTGTTCTCTGGACCACTCCTATTTCATTACTATTATTGTCAACCTGAAGAACAAGCAGAAAGAGGCTCTCTAAAATGAAATGAATGCTTATTTGGGAAGAGAGCATTGCGATGGGAATACACATGCCATCATAAATGACAAGAATACTCAGGGAGGTAAAAAAAAAAAAGAAAGAAATTTTTAAGGAAAAATAAATGAGAGGATTAAATCATTGTTCTGAAATAATTATCTTTGGCTACAGAGATCCATAACAAGACGAAGCCAGTCTGAGGTTGGACAAGCCGTTGTTGGGCAGGCGTCGTTGGAGAAGTGCTTTTTGTGTGTGTAAGTTTGTGATGAGCCAGGTGCAGTGGCTCACACCTGTAATCCCAACACTTTGGGAGCCCGAGGTGGAAGGATTGCTTGAGCCCAGGAGTTCAGGATGAGCCTGGGGAATACAGAGCAACCATATCTCTACAAAAAGTACAAAAATTAGCCAGGCCTGGTGGCTGGTGCCTGTAGTCCCAGCTACTCAGGAGGCTGAGGTGGGAGGATGGCTTGAGCCCAGGAAGTGGAGGTTGCAGTGAGCTGAGATTGGAACACTGCACTCCAGCCTGGGCAACAGAGTCAGACCCTGTCGAATAGAATAGAATAGAATAGAATAGAATAGAATAGAATAGAATAGAAAAGGTTTTGATGGCCTTGTGTGCAAGACTGTGGTTCTCACAGAGCCTTTTTAGTTATCAGGTACACAAGTGTGAGAACCCTCTCCTCATGGTCTTCCCCCATTCTATTTGTCAGGGTTCTCTTAACATTACTGGCTTCATTTTGATTCTGACAACTTTCATACTATATAAGACTTTAAGCATATAAAACCTTAAGGTCTTACGTAAGACCACCTATTTCACTATCTTTATATAATACCTTCAGTATTTCGTACTTTTAACATATGATTTATGGTCATTTGGAATGAGGGTTAATGCTCCTAAAATCTATATTTTCATCTTTAAAAGTATTTATCTTACAGTGTCATAACCAAATGGTGAGGTAAGAATAGTGACCAGAATAGCCTTCCTCAGTCCCTCTAACTCTTCTGTTCACAAGTTTGCAAGCTCCAGTGCTGGAGTTGTAACTCCTCCCCACCGGCCACATTTACAACACAGTGTCTGTCATTCAGGAACGAAAAGCTCCCCAGATCCAGGATGCAACAGTCGCTTTCATGCCACATCTGTGCAGTCAAAGTGCCCTCCCACTCCATTACCTGCTTTCGTTCCTCAGAGTTGAGCAGGAGATAACGTGGGTCAAACACGATTTTGTGTAATTCTTTCTCCCAGGTAGAAAATGCTGATACCTAAATAAAGATATTCAATAGAGTTGCTGTTAGCATCTAATGCTAAGCCTGAAGCCGTTCTGAAATGATCCATGGTTAAAAACAAACAAACAAAAACCAGCATTAAAGTACAATAGATTCAGTGATGTGGTGGAGTATAAGTGTTAGACATGTCAGACGTCCCAAGAAAATCAATACCTAGAACATCAGAAAATTTAATTTCTAGCCTCATGACTCACCACCATTTCTTTCTTGGGTAACTTTCAGGGTTGTGTCCCCTGATGTGAAACCCCAATTATATCTGTGGAGGCGTGGTATTCTGGAACACCCCACTTCAAAAGGAGAAATTATATTTGTAAAAATTTTCAGAACCCCTACAGACCATAACAAAGAGTAATGTCTTGAAAACAGGCTGAGTTTAGTTGATTTGCAATCAAAGTTTAACCTCTTTTAGGCAGGTCATTTTAAAAATAAATTATTTTGTTTGCAATAGTTTTACACGTACTAAAAATTTGCAAGAATATTACAGAAAGTCACCATATACTCATACCCAGTTTCTCATGTTGTTAACATATTAGTAGGCTAGATTCATCACCACTAACACTGATACATTATTGCTAACAATAGTCTGTGTTTATTCAGATTTCTTTAGGTTTTACCCAATTTTCTGTTTCTGTCCAGGACCCTATCACGTTTGGCTGCCATATCTCCTTGGACTCCTCTTGGTTGTGACAGGGTCTTAGACGGCCCTTGCCGTTGATGACTTTGAGGAGCAAAGTCACGATGGTTTGGGGAGCCCTGGTCAGGTGCATTGCAGGATGCTCCTCAGTTGGGATTTGTCTGAGGTTTTCCTCATAAATAGCCTGGGGTTATGGGTTTTGGGAGGAAGACCACACAGGTAAATGCCATTCTCATCATGTCATAACAAGGGTATACACACTGCTGACATGACTCCTCACTGTCAGTGGTGGCCATGGTCGGCTGGCTGAAGTCTCCCCACTGTGAAGTGTCCCTCTCCATGCTGTCCTCTCTGGAAGGACATCGCCATGCACAGCTCACACTTAGGGGTATGGGCTGTGTCCACTTCTGAGGAGGAGAAGTAGCTACATGAGTGACTGGGAAATGTTCTGGGGGCGGGGGGTGGTGAATACTCGTTCATGCCTCCACATTGCTTATGTACTCAATCTTTTATTTATATTGCTATGGACTCAGATATTCAACCCATGCTTGGGCTGGACTCCAGTGTGACTTTGCTTCTTTTCCTGTTCAGTTTCTTCCAGGTTAGCCTTGACAAGCTCTGTGGGGGGTTCCCGGCTCCTGTGCGCCTCTGACAGGAGTTCATCACTTGGCTTTTTGGGCATCTCCTTAATTTCTGCCACTAAAGATACACCAGGGTCATCTTCTGCATGTCCCACCTTTGCCCTTGAATCAGTTAATTCTCCAAGAAGCCCTGACTCCTTTCCTAGAACAGTGTTAGAAACCAAGATCTGGGCACTGGTGTGTTCAATGCTAGTGAGGTGTCATTGCTTCTAGACTCTCTCAGCTGATAGAGCAAGGGAATGGTTAAGTCATTTAGAACATAAAAGCATCCATTTAAAAACATGGACTATGTATTCACTGTGCCTTGAGCCCTAAGCTGGGTATTGAGGATCCTGAGGAAATAAATCAAGGAAGCCCATGGTCTAGGGTAGTGCTGGTGAGGAGCTAACAGACTCTTAAGATGGCACTAGGGCCACAGCAGAGACAGACCTGGACACTAGTGGGACCCAGCAAAGACCCACAGCAGCCTGGGGAGGTGGCTTCCAGAGTGCTGTGACTTTGGAACATGAATACTCCTCACGGTTCACGTAGGAGTCTGGGGGCTATTCCAGGACTGGCTGGCAGTCAGGGCAAAGGTTGGGTCATGAACTACAGGGAATGCAGGAATCACAAGAGGTTGAACATGCCTGGGGGTGCCAGAGCCCGTGAAGGAGCAAGGAAGAGTCAGCAGAGCCAGAAGCTGAGGTGCAGGGCAGCCTGAGACGTGGTCAGGAGCCTGGGCATTCTCTCAAGAGACAGGGGAGAAGAAAATTCGAATGGGGTGTGTGTTTGAGGAAAGCCACCCTGGGATCTGGGCAGGAGATGAATACCTGGGCAGGGTCAGGGAGGGGAAGGTAATTGAAAGTTTACAAAAACAAAACCCCATTCGCATTCTTAAAATATTCCTCATAGAGGTACTATTTCAATAAACACGTGCTTTCTTTGTATATTATAACAGATGAATTTTCTTCACTGGCAATTTCTATCTTTAACTATCACATTTAAGCCTTTTCTGTAATACCCACAAGCTCTTTTATTGGGTGGGATGACCCAGGGTCCAGCCAGGGATTCTCCTCCACAGAACACGGTGAAGCATTGCTGGGACTCAGAGTGAGGGGGTGACTCTGGGAGGGTCTCCAGGCAGAATGGGTCCCTTTGGCTTTGACTGAGTGCACGTGGCCCCGGGAGCACCTGGGGCTGTTAGAGAAGCTGTGGGCAGCCTCCATTCAGCCCAATCAGATGGCAGACACCCATCTCACAGGGACCCGTGCACAGCCCGACGGTCCCAGCTCTGCAGGGACAGAGGATTAGACTCTGTGTGGCATAACGACACCAGTTTCTGGAAAATGTTGGAGTTCTAGAAGTATAATAAAATACTTCCATCTCTACAGTGATTACAGCTTACAACGATAAACCCAACAGTGTCATGTCAGGGACAGTTCAGGGAAGGGTGAGAGCACAGTGGCTGGGACCCAGGACGGAAGTCGGGGCTGAAGGGAAGGCTGCACAGCCATGTGTGAAACAGGGTCTTTCCCTGCCCTCCAGGTGGGTGCAGGACTTCTCCCAAAGAACGGGTCCTGACAGCCATGGGGACGAGGAGTCCTGAGAACTGCTCCTGAGAGAAGCCTGATATTCCTGAGCCTGTGTGAAATATCTACGTTGCCCAGAGAGTACATTCCATGGGGCCAAGATTACACACCTGTGTGTGTGACTATACACACACACAAACATCCACAGCATGTACACATGCAGGTGCACACACATGCAAACACATGAACACACACAGGACATGCTAAGATATGCATACACGGGCACGTGTGTACACATGCACACGTACATAGTTGCACAAATGCACACATATGCACAAAGATGCACACATTGATATGCACATGCACATGTGTGCCTACACACACACACACACACACACGGTACCGCCACCACCACCAAGGAAGTCCAACATTGCAGAACAACCAGGGAAAGAAAGCCCATCAACTGAGTAGACAGCAAGCTGCATATCTCCTTTATTTATTTATTTATTTTTGAGACGGAGTCCCGCTCTGTCGTCCAGCTGGAGTGCAGTGGCGCGAACTCGGCTCACTGCAAGCTCCGCCTCCCAGGTTCACATCATTCTCCTGCCTCAGCCTCCCAAGTAGCTGGGACTATAGGTGCCCACCACCAAGTCTGGCTAATTTTTGTATTTTTAGTTGCGACAGGGTTTCACCGTGTTAGCCAGGATGGTCTCGATCTCCTGACTCATGATCCGCTCGCCTCAGCCTCCCGAAGTGTTGGGACTAGGCATGAGCCACCGCGCCTGGCCCAAGCTGCACATCTCTTTTAAGTCCAGCTATGTTGTGGGACTGTTCTCTGGGTGGCCGTGGACAAAACCTGGTTCTCCCTGTTTCTGGCTGGTACCTCTCCAGAATGACCGGAATGCACTGGGAATGCAACAGGCTGAGAACAGCCAGGCTTTGTTTGGGCCCCACCCCAGAAATAAGACATCCTTTCACCTTTAGCCCAGCGTTTCACATGACCTCAGGGTATGAAACCCACTGTGGGCTGCTTTCTGGGGTCCCTTGGTTACAGCAAAGGGTAGATGAGGCTCCGTCCCCTCCTTGCCGCTTTCCTGGGCCTGCAGGACTGGTTCACAAGGCATCCTCATCTTCACCACCCTTGTTTCCTGTCTGCAGGGAATAAACCCACTTCAGATGATTTGCTGTGTGCGTGGGCGTTCTGTCTCAGCAGCCTCACACAGGTGGCTGACCGGTGCCCAGGGAATCTCCTTCACATCTCAGTTTCTATTGCTGCATAAGCAACGACTTCAAACTCAGTGGGTCACAAGCACTACCTCGGGTCACTCCATGGGCTGCGTGGGTCCTGAGTCCAGCATGGGGGCATTGGGTTCCTTGGCCCAGATCCCACTGGGCTGAGACGAGGTGCCAGCAGGAGCTTTGTTCTCGTCTGGTGCTTGGGGTCCTCTTCCAAGCTCACTGGACGTTGGGACAATTCAGGTCTTGTGGTTGCAGGGCTGAAGCTTTCCATGTCTTCAGCCAGTTGGGAGCCAATCTTGGCTCCGAGCGGCTGCCTGCAGGTCCTTGCCCCAGGGCCCCCACAGTGGGGCAGCTTCTTCAAGCCAGAGAGAGAATCTCTCCCTGGTTAAGGCAGAGTCTTACACAACACAGTGCAACATTGCCACGGGTGTGACATGGGCCCCGTCCACGCTCAAGGAGAGGACCGCACAGGATGAGCACAGTGCGGTGGGGCGGGGTAGGGGGTGGTGTTTAGAATCCTGTCTGCCTAGCACGCCCCTGAGACCAGGACACGCTGTTCCTCCCTCAGGGGTTTCCACGTCTCAGCAGAGATCTCTCTCTTTCCTCTTGCCTAACACTTCTTTGATTCTTTGGCATTTTATATGTGACTTGATCCTTAAAGACCTAAATTCTTCTATAAACTTCAGACCCTTTCCTGCAGAAGTTTGTGATTCCACCCTCTTCCTCATCCTGTTGTACATCGTCACATCACCCCCTGACGAACAGCAACGGCGATCCTAGTGCCCATCTCAGCACGCCTGTTGTCTGTTTCCCTGTGGATGACGTGACCATGGCTGTGACCGTGGCTGTGTCTGTGACCGTGGCTGTGTCTCTGACCATGGCTGTGTCTCTGACCATGACTGTGTCTGTGACTGTGGCTGTGTCTCTGACCATGACCGTGTCTGTGACTGTGGC